GTCTTCCTGGCATGTCTTCTAGAACACAGCCCATGTACCCAGCCCCTATTATACATTGCTTAGCCAACACCTGCTTGTCTTCAGCTGCTCACCCCCAGGCACATACATGGTTCCCATAGAAACAGTCATTCTGGACAAGGTGACCCTGTCCCCTCTGATCACAAAGAGCGCCTTCCTTAGAAACTGTTGGCTGAGAAGCCAAGAGAGCTGGTGTGCACTGAGAAAGAGTTACACAGAAGCCCTGAGAAGAAAGCCAAGGGTCCCAGAGAAAGGACTTTTTGATTATTGTAGACCCTACCTCCATAGCCTAATAAGTCCAGTCGTTTCCTTGCATGTGGAGAAATACTTGGGAGAAATCCCAGTATCCTTCCAGTACAGGCCTGCTTTTGCTTAAGGTAGTCTGACTTCGGTTTTCATTACCTGTACCCAGAGCTTTGCACACCTGTTGGATTGAACCCATGAACCAACTTGTCAGGGACCACTGTGTACTTTTTCATCACTGTCATAATAACATAATACCCAGCACATTTTACATTCCTAATACAGGTCTACTGAATGACAACCAAATTAAGGCAGCCTATAAATACGAAATAAATTGTGTGACACCAACAATGCATTTGAGGAAAGGGTCAGGGAAGGGAATTATCATAGTGGATTGGCACCACAGAGATAGGCTTCAAGAAAAAAGTGGTACCAGAGATGGGGTGCTAAGGGACAGGTCAAACCAGAAGGAGCAGGGTGAACAGCCAGTGAGCCATGACGGGACTGAACACAGCACCTTCAACCAGCTGCTCACCTCTTCCAGTGTTTTCTGCCAAGGATTCCAGCTCCGGACAGGCTTAAACATGTGAGGCAATTAGAATGATTTTACCAAAGTCAACAGATTTTATACATTCAAATGAAGGTTATCTCCTTCAAAGTGGTAGAGTCCATATCCTTGTTCTAAGAAGGCTGGCCCTGCTCTAAGTGTTTTCGTAACTTACTGAAATTGAAAATGTATCTTTTGAATGACTTCATAAAAAACGTATGTCATTAAAAAAGAAAAGAGTAAGTCCCTTCCCCGAGAAAGTCTTCTAATTTCTCTCTTCACTCAACTCCTGTGTTAGGTACTACCTTTAAAACCACTTTGGACCCCGGGGAGCCTGGGTGGCTCAGTGGGTTAAGTGTCTGACTCTTGGTTTTGGCTCACGTGATGATTTCACAGTTTGTGGGCTTGAGCCCCACATCTGGCTCTGCACTGACAGTGTGGAGCCTATCTGGGATTTCTCTCCCTCTCTCTCTGC